TGTGCTAACATTGTATGAGGCCATTGTCTTAGATTTGTGTCCCTGCTTAGTGCAGACTGCCCCTCAGGGGTCTTTTGGTCAGCTCCAGGGAGCCCCCCTTGCATGCGTTCCTTTGAAGTGGCACGGCCATTCGAAAAAGCCATTGGAAAATCCCTCCCACACCCGCCCTGTACATAATGGGTACGCCATGAAATCTGGGGAGAGCGTGACCCACCTGAGATTGGTAATATTTCCTAAGCATCGAGGGATCCCCATAATCGTTCACAATCACCATTTTCTCCGTGGTCGTAAGTGCAGCCTTACAATGACCTTGCCGCAGCGAAATGGCATGGGCCTGTTCTGATCTGTCTTTATCTCTATGCGAACAGTCTTGATGTAGTGCTTATTGACCGGTACATAGTGGGGCTCGTTATAGAAGACCGTGATAAAGTCGTGAAGCTTCCCCTGTGCGGGAACACAGCGTAGAAGAGGCACCACCGTGTCCCCCACTTTTTGGTGTTCTATGATATCCGTGTACAGGTACAGGGTATTAAATCCCCCGTAATATCTGTGCAGTTCTGGGGTTTTTTGATGGGGACGTTGGGAGGAGCCCCCATCATGTAGGCCAATTCTTTACTCATCGTGACCGAGTAAATATCAGACCCGATAAACCGCAGCATCGCTTGCGTAGGATCAAAATAGAACTGTAGATCGGATGGAGGCCGCGTCTGTTTTTTGACAATGGTATTCATAAATTCAACTATGCCGCGAATATCATAGTATCCGGGGCGCACCTGATATTCATGGAGAACTGTCCCATTAGAAATCTGGAATTTAGCCGGCTTGGTAAGTGTGTACCAGTTGTGGGGGTAGTGAATTTCCACCAATCCCACCTCCCATTCCCCACACAACTCCAGAGGTTTAAACAAACGCACTGTGAAAGAAGCGCTGGTATTTTCAGGAAATAGATCCTTAGAAGCGTTGCTGGGAAGTGTAACATAAAACCCATCATCTTCCATCCTGCTCTGTGATGTCTTCAGTGGGGACCCAGCTGTTAAATTTAGGCGGCCACCCCCGCCACTTGACTAAGAAAAACTTCTTTTTCCTGTCTGCTTGGCTTTTTATAATTTTCTCGATCTTGTATGTTCTGTCTTTCCAATTGCTCACTTTTTGCAGCTCCTCTGGGTAAAAACCTCCCAGGACCGGCTCACCGTCAAAATCTACCAGCCGGTACATGGGCCTCTCGCCCCTTCTGACTACCTCTTCTATAATAAAGATTTCATTGGTGAAAGACTGTTCATACCCCTTCTCAAAGGTCCCCTTTGCTCTAGAGACCCTCACGCGGTCCCCTTTTGTAAATTGAGGCCGTGTTTCTTTGGGGGGGGGGAACCCAAGACCGTGCCGTATATGTGTCTCCACACTGCAAGTGCGTTAGAAGGCTTCACGTCTACGGGCCGTGTCTGAATAGTTCTGTGGTAGCTGTGGTTGTAGCTTTTTACCAGATCCTGTAGCACACCCCTATAGTTAAAAGTGTTCTTGGCTGTAAAATATCACCACATCTTGGTCTTTAAAGTTCTGTTAAACCTCTCCACCACAGAGGCCTTGACTTCGTTGTTGGTGACAAAGTGGTGAACTCGATGGTGTTTTAACAGAGCCCCCACTTTTTTATTGAGAAACTCTTTGCCCCTGTCTGTTTGCAGCTTCTGTGGGGTTCGCCCCGACTCCTGGAAAATGCTTTTAAAAGCGGTCGCCACCTCTGTCACACCCTTATCTTTCAGCAGCACGGCCCACGCGTATTTAGAAAGGATGTCTATCACCGTTAAAATGTATTTGTAGCCCCCCTTGTACCCGGAGTATTGTTGCATATCTACCAAGTCCGCCTGCCACTGCTCATCGATATCCCCCACGATTACCTTGTTTCTTTTGAAATGCACCCTGGCTGGTTTATGGATGCTGTATGCCTCTTGCTCACCGAACCACGCTTTCACTTCTTTTCTGCTCACCCTGTGGCCCCTCTCGGAAGCGGCCCGAAAAAGATATTCAACCCCTCCTTTTAGTATATTCGTAAGACACTCCATGACGCCGCACTCTCTTTTGCCACAATTAAAGTATTTTTTATTAGATGACAAAAATATACAGACCATTGCTCTCCACCCCTACCCCTTCACTCGGACTCCTCCTGCACATGTTCAGCCTGCTTTTAACTTTTCTGCAAACACTTTTTAAATTTCACAATATTGAGAAATAGTGGTCAAGGACCCCTGGTTAATTCAGTTTGACTCCAAAATACTGAATTTCAGCCGGTCCTACCCGTAAAGAACATTCTTGAAAAAGCATATAGCTTCCGCAGTCAGAGGCAGTCTATCTGAAAACCTTTCCAGCCATGAAACTTTTTAATATATTGTACAGGCTGTCCGGCTTATGTTGCTTCTTCATGGGTGGTGCCCCACCCTTCCTTCTTATCAGCCCCCTCCAGAGACTGCCCAACCCAGCCACGGTCTGGCTAGGGTTAAAATCTCAAGGTTTGAGAAACAGGTTATAACTTATGAATTGAACAGCAAGTTTAAGTTGGGGGCCTTCCATGGCATTTTAAAGAGCCTGCCACATTAGGCAGTTTAACTCTGCAGCCGTCAGTACACTGGGCAGACTTTGGGCAAACCTCCACCCTTCCAAAACTGCCCCCCTCCACCCCTTATTTCCTTAACATTTCCCTGCCTGAAAGAGCATTTCATGCCCCATGTATGTGCTGCTTTTTGGGGACTGTTGGAAAATGTTGTAGTATAATCTACCAGACCCCTGCTCACTTGCAAAAAACTAATTTCACACAAATTGAATAGCCTTTCTTTAATACATGCAGACAGGGAAGACTTTCACGGGCACAGAAGCTGGTGTGTGTGGGGGGGAATCTTGTGGAGTGTGAGGCTCCTGGCATGGACCTGCCTGCTTTGAGGGGGAAACCTGCGGCTAGCAAGCGCAAAGGGAAAGGAACAGACACCCCACTCCTTCTGATTTATTTCCTTAAGATTCCCCCGTCTCAAAAATGTGTATGTGCTGCTTTTTGGGGACTGTTTGTATATCTTCTGCCTGCTTTGTGGGAAATGTGGCTGGCCCACACCCCTGCAAAGGAAAGGAGGGGGGGTATATCTTCCAGGCAAAGCACGTGTGTCTCTCTCTCTGTCTGACAGCCTGCCTATCAGGCTGTGATATTTATTCATGTTGAAAAAGCAAGAGCTGTCATTGGACACCTTTGAACTGACAGTCTGCAGTTGGCTGAATGAGAGTGTGTGGGAGGGTACCAGAATGACAGCTGGAGAATAGCTTGCGGGTTGGTTCAGGGACAGATCAAAGTTTCCCGGGCTGAAAAGAGAGAGCCCTCGTTGGCTGAATGTGTGTGTGTGGCCCTGCCTCTCTCCTCCCTGCTTGCACTGTGCAGTGCAAGCTGGGAGGGGGGAGGAGGGAGGGAGTGGGGAGACTGTGGCATTCTGCTCTCCACAGTAAGAAAATTCTGTTGCTGTGCTGTCTTTAAAAAGGCTGTTTGCAAACTGCTTTCTTTAAACTCTTGCTTTTAAAGGGGGGATCTGTGTGTGTGGGTTGAGGGGTGTGTGTGTGATTTAGCTTTTCATCTATTGCTAGAACTGCTGGGGGGAGGGGGGTCTCCCTGGCTTCTAAGACTGTCTGCTTGCTTGGAGCTAACGTTTAAACACTCGCCTATAAGGCTTGTCTATATAATTTCCTAAAGATTTTTCCTCTGTGGGAGTGGGGTGGGGGAAGGGGCTCTCTCTATGCTTCTCGGCTATGCTGCTTATCTATCCTTGGCAGAACAGCACACAAAATGCAGACAACGTTTTTTAAAAGTGCAGTTTCCCCCCCTTTTGCTTTGCCACAAACCAGCTGCTTTTGCTTTGTGGGGCTTGCAGAGGGGTGGGGGTGGAGGTCCCCTGGCTCTGTCTCAGTGGGGCTGGGGCTCCACAGGGGGTCCTGGAGAAGAGGGGCCAGTCTGCACTAAAATGGTGCTAATGTTTGGCTTTGGGGCAAAGGAACCTTTTTTCCTTTTGGCTCTCTGTGAGGCTTGTAAGGGGGGGACTCCTGGATCTGCCTCTCTGCCTGGGGCTTACAGAGGAAGGTGGGGGGCATGTAAGGTGGGGCTCCCTGGAGCCGACCAAAAGACCCCTGAGGGGCAGTCTGCACTAAGCAGGGGCACAAATCTAAGACAATGGCCTCATACAATGTTAGCACAAGCATTGTACCATTTTCACACATTCACAGCAAAAAGCCAGCCTGTTCAAAGCATTCCCCAGCCACAAAACACAAGTCCCCTTTACACCCAAAAAGAGTCAAAACACACAGGGACTCCATTTTCCCAGCCCCCAACCCCCAGCCATGCGCTACACCCTCAGGGGAAAGCCGACACATGCTTGCCACGCCCCCTGGACTGCCAGCTGCAGCCCTCCCCTTCGAGCAGGGGCCTCAGGGAGGCGGGACTAAACCACAAGAAGGGAGGGGGGAGCACTCATCAAATCTTTGACTTGACATAAGGGTGTCCTTAGTTCCTCCTGGCAGCTGTTTAGAAAGGCTTATTTAAGCAGAGGTTAAATATAAGTTAATGCTTAATTATTTTGAGGGACATTTTCCCCCAAATACACAAACTAGCGCCTGAACGATAAATGTACAATACCAATTGTAGTCTCACTCGTAACAGTATCATAGACATCTTTATAAACTGGAAAGTCTTCTGCATGGGCTACACATTTGTAGCCCATATAAATAAGCCTTTATATATTTGTTTGCAATAGGAAAAAAACAACAGTAAAGACAAAACACTGAAGGACTGCTTTGATAGAAGTAAAGCTAAGATTAATTTGGTGCTTAAAAAAAAGACTATTATGAGATGATTCCTTAGTTGCTGGAGCTTCAGATAAATGTATCCTGGTTAAATCAATTCATGCATAAAATCTCCCCAAAAAATCCATAGCATTTTGAAAGACCATTGATAGAATACATATTGAAAGGAAATTACTAACCTTGGAGATATATCACACCCTTGTTGCATAAAAGCTCCCAAGGAGAACCAGAGACTGTTAAATATCCCAAATTCGTTTGTTTGGTCATTGGCTGGCTGGTCACGTCCTTCTTCCAGCTCCTCATTGTGCCACTCATAAGGGCTGAAGCGACTGACCAGAAAAAGGACAACACTCACTCCAATGTAGGCAAAAACAATGCACATCCAAATCTCATAAGCTAGTGGATCCAGAAAGGAAAAGACCCCCGGCTTGGACTTTTGAGGTTTTTTAATCATGATAGAGATGCCCAGGCTCATAAATGGTTTGGAAAAGTCTATAACTTCCTCTCGCACAAGCGTGATAGTCAATGGTGCAACAGCTACATCAGCATTCTGAAAGGAAAAGGAGATCAGTATGAGACAGATGTTTAGAAATCTGCAATGCACCAACCACAGAATATATCAAGAGTGGGTTTTTTGTTTGTTTGCTTTTTTGCAATAAATACATTTTTTTTACTTCTCAGTGTTTATCAATCAGAGCATCCTTTGTTTTATTTTAGAAAGTTTACTTTTCAGCACTATTGAGTTTTACAAAAAGCCAAATAATAATTTCAGTTTTGAAAAGAGCAAATCGTATTTTGCTGCAATACTTCTGTTTGTGTTGGTTTTTCCCCCCTCCCCTTCTCTGCTGCTGATTAATTTAGGCAGGTTTATGGTTTATTTGCAAAACTAATTCCATGGTGGCTTTGTTCTTTTTTTAATTGTTAACAATAGTAAATCATATCCTAGCAAATTTAACAGGACTGATGCCACAGTCCAGCATCTGTGACATCTAAATTCGTTACTAAATGCTGCCATTCAAAAATGACACGATAACACACTTTAAGACTGCAAAAGCCGAAGATGAAAATCACTTGCTGGCATGATGCCTGGCCATTTACTTCAAGTAGAAATGCTTTGTTGCTAACAAATGACTGATACAGATAATTTTAGTTGATTGAAAATGGTCCAGCTAAGTGGAGATTTGCCAACTGTGCAGTATCATTAATGATATGATATATCAACTAGCACAGATTTTAATATCTGTCTTGGTGTTACTGGTGAATAACGATAAGCCACTCAACAACCATGCACAAATGACAAGTGATCTTGATGCAAAATCATCTAGTGCTTGTCTTAACTGAATAATACTCTTGGGGATATTCTTGCAACATTAGCAATTACAATTTTTAAAACACTGGATCACAGCTAGAAACTTACTCCATATACTAACTCCCCGACCATGCCATTCCATAATTTAGACTCAGGATCTCGGGCTCCATACTTCCCGTCGCTAACAATTTGCAACCTGTATTGGTAGCCAACATGTTTTGCGATCTCAGCAGCCAACTCTACGCAATATCCTTCATACCTTTCATTTCCTTCCAACTGCTCATAGCTCTTCTTATGCATCACATATGGGGCTTCCTGGCAGATAAAGAACAAATTATAGAGCCATGGTTCAGGGTGTGTGTGTGTGTGTGCTCATAGTCTTGTGTAACAGAAAAAAAGAACAAAAATGCTCAGTGCTCATGCCAGGTTCTAAGGGAAAAAACTCTGGATCTAATCTCTTCCAGGTGATTAATGGAAATGTATATAGACAATATGGCTAAGGAGAAAGGGTAATACAAATTGTGCAATGACCACCTCAAAAACTTCACCCAAAGTAAAGTCGAACATTTCATCCACCTGCATATTGTCACCCTATTCGAATCACTGAAGTATACTGAGCGAACCCACTGATAATGTCAAGAGAAAGATAAGCACAGCCTATAGCTATATAACTTAGGGAACAATCCTAAACAGGTCTTCTCAGGATAAGTCCCATTTTACTGAATAGGACTTTCTCCCGGGTAAGTGTTCTTAGGATTGCAACATAAATTATACAATACCTATCCGTCTCTAAGTTGACCATGATATGACTAGCACTTTCCCCTTTTCCCCCGTATTTCTTTGAGTTGCAAAGAAGTTGCCATTTCTAGAAGGCATGGTGGCACTGAAATACTGGCCAACTTACAAGGCTACCCTAAGCAGTGTAACATCCTCCTAAATCCATAGAAACCCATGGGCAGAGACTATATAAATCTGTTTAGGATAGTACTGTCTCCTGCTAAGTATATCCTACAGCAGTCACATCAAATAAAGCAAATATAACAATAAATTAAGTAAAAAATATTTCTGTATGGCAAATACAGTACTAAAAGACATAGGATCAATGATGGAAGAAATAGCAGTGACAAGTATCTATTGTACTTGCATCCAGCTCTTTCTCTAAGGAGCTCACAGTGGCATGCATGGTCATTCCCTCTTCTATTTTATCTTCATGATAACCCCATAAAAAAAGTTATACTGAGAGAGAGTAACCAGTTTAAGATTACTGATCTGAACATGCCTTTTCCTGTCCTAGTTCAACACCCTAACCATGGTACTGCAACATTCCAATAGGATCTCTTTCAAATCATGATTCACATTATGTGAATGTCACTCACAAATGCAGTCATAGAAATTGATTAACTCAAGAAGTCTGGCTCTACAGCTGAGCAGAACTAATGTCCTCAGACACAGGTAAATGTAACATGTGAACCAGGCGATCACAGGTGGCATTAGCAGCATTTCCGATTACAGTGGCAACAGATGGCACAAAATTCTGCACTTTCGAAAAATCTATATAGATTACAGCACATCACACCTTTCAGAATCCATTCTAGAGTCTGAGGATTGCTACTGAAGTGCAGATAGAGTTTAGTCCTTTGGGGAAGGTTTTCAGTGGTGAAGCACCATTTACCTTAGCAGCTGGGAGATTGCATTAGATTGGTGATAATGATGTTCCTTGGGATAGTATGACTCTGTTGTGCCAGACCTTTTGAGGAACTTACCAGATCCCATGATATTAATCCATTGTGACTTACTGATATAAATCAGCACACTTTTAGTCATACGATCTTGCAAGCTTATCTTTCTCGGTTAGCTGGAAAATAGTTATAACAGTATTTACTCATGGGTTACAGATCTTTGCCTCTGGCTATCAAGTAGTCCAAGGACTGTGCTGAGTATTTCTATGGTAGCTTTCTGCAGTGGAGTTCCATCATTTTGCCTTGGTCAGAGATGGGAGCAGTTACCTGGCAGCCCCTAAGCTTGGAGAGAGGGAGGGGGAAGAAAGAGGGACAACATTTGGGTACATCTAAATTTCCATGAGAATGGACATGCTATGGAGGTGAGATGGGGTTTGGGGTGAGGTCCTGATTTGGCACTTCTACAAATATTCTGCCCTTTCTCCCTTCCTCTTAAACAGGCAAAGAAGATGGACAATGCAACAGGCTTCTTCAATTCTCTAGGATATATAGAGATTATGTATTTGCGTATTGTCTTCTTTCCCCCCTAGCATCCTATTTTTGCTGTGATCTGTAGAGTTTCTTGCCCTGGGAACCCAAAGCCATTTCACATTTCAGTCTTCCTTTTGGTTTCATGGTGAGGAAAAAGAACAAGAATATTAAAAAAGTAACAGGGTTTTTTTTTTGCAACAGGACAGCCATTGTGAGAAAGATCTTTATACAAGGGATGGTGGCATAGGATTGGATTTCCTTGATATGTATATTGACTTTCAGTGATGTTAACCCAAAGGAAATGCAAGATGAATAAATAATCTGTTTTTCTTCCACAGACATGTTCAAAAATTTGATTTGTGAAACCTCATATATGGATGCTGCTTTGTGTATCATGGACAAAGCGGGGAAATGCCCAAAGTGAAGGAAAATGCAAGGTTGGAGGATTACTTCTAAAAACTGATGACTAGTGTGCAAAGTGCATGTAACGCTCACTGATAAAATAAGTTAGTTGGGAAAAATACATTTTAGTACAAAAAGAATCAGGGGGGGGAGACAGCTTTGGGGGGAAATCAGAAATATACAAATGTGGGTATTTGTGGGTGTATTTGGTGCTCATGCTCAGTTGTTAACAGCTGTTCTCTCCTTCAAGAATGGTGGACCTGTAGGCACAAAAGGCAAAGTTATAGCTACTGGCCATCAATAGGTAGTGCTGTCATAGATCAGACTCAACCAATCTTGATTCTTGCTTAAACATGTACTTCAAAGTCCTTAACAAAAGGAGACCCATATATCAGCTAAGGGAAGCAAACTCACAGCCCTACTACCCTGTTTATTATTATGGGCTAGTTGACACACCCATCTGGCTGAGAGGCGTCTACATGCTTCTCCCCTCATATCCAGGAACACATGATATATAATACAGGCCATATGCTCATAGGCCCAATCTTAGTAATCATTATAGCACAAGAATTGTGTGTTTATGTGTGTGCACGTGTGGTCTCACAAAACATACTTATGCATGTACTTGCAGCCCTTGCAACACTCATCACCTCGTTTGTTTGATGAGGGGCATATTCTTATCCTTTGTTTGTTTAGTTTGTTTCATTGGCCTTCTAGCCCGCTCTCCCCCATGCAGCAAGCTCAAAGCGAGTTACAACATTCTTAAGAGCATACAAAGCTTTAAAAATAAAATATAGCCATAAAACAGATACAAAACAGTATTACTGTATACAAACCTCAAGGGGCGCCAGCAAGACAATTTGCTGAATTGGATGACGTTCCCATATATAGCTGCAGATCTAAAAAGTGCAGGGGAAGCGGATGGGTGGAGTAGAGCAGCTATGATGGATCAAAACGCTGCTAGACAGAGTTGAGCTAAACAGAGCAGAGCACGTGTACTGTACCATGTGTTTTAAATCCCCAGCCAGGTGAGTGTGTCAACTGTCCCCCAGTTCATTGTTACCTGCTTGCAAGTTCTTTATGTCACTGTTTACAGCTTTTGCTACTCTTGTCTGGTTGCAGTAGAGACGATCACAGTTTGTTAAAAATCCAGAAAAGGCAGAGAAACCTGTTCAAGCACTCTCTGTTCTTTAGGTGGAGTTAAGGGTGCACTATGAGAAGATTTTTTTTTTTTAAGAAATCCACTTGTGTTGTCACTGTCACCCTGGGGCAAGCCATGCTGCTCATGCCATTTCCTGCCGGAGGAGAGAATGTTTGGAATTGGTCAGACAGCTGTAGGGCATTTCATGATTTCTCACCCACCTACCACACTCCCATAAATCCCCCATGTGTCTACTGCAATATGTACTTACCTGAAGGTTATAGTTAACATGGGATGCTTTGGAAATCATTCTATACAAAATTCCCAGATGTTGGAGTTCACTATTCCTGGAAATTGTTATCAGAGCAGAATTCAAAAAGTCTGAATGTTGAGTGTGTTCTTCAATGCACTCACGAAAAGAAATCAAAATAAATATAGTATCGTACTTACTGGTGGATAGCAGGTACAAGGTGGAGGAACGCAACATAAAGCATTCCACCTATCTCCGTGAAATATACAGGACCACAGTGTAGGATGCCACAGCCTTTGTGTGGGAGCTGGAGCTGCAGGAGCCACCACCAAAGCTGCTGATTTGTCCTCCTTCATCACCACAGATAACTTGCGTAAAAAAGATCATGTTGACTCTGTGTACCCAATCCAACACAGCTAAGTCACAATACCCAGGAGGCAATGTGATTGCCAGTGAGATACCATCCAATGAAAGTGTTAGGCTTCTGGAACGATAGTGCACCTTTGGTGGATAACCAATTTACACAGTAAATCAGAATTAAATTAGACTGAGACTTTGCCCATCTCTAACGGCAGCAAACTTTTTTTCAGCCACATGAGTCACGTGAGTTGCTGCCTGTTATATCCATGATCACCCTGTTCACATGTTACATTGTCCATACAAATGTATTCCCGGATACAGTTTGAACTGCTTACATGTATAGCAAAATGCTTTTTAAAATCTACTTTGCTAGTCTACTCAGAATTTGCTTATGAAAATCACAGACTAAGTATATGATGAAAGGTTATCACATTTCTGTTCCAACCCCTTGAGCTCCTATGTTTTATACCACCCTTGTCAAATGTTTGCTCATAAACCCAATCTTGCGAAAGGGAACTACATTATATAAAGGGGGTGTTCTGCTGTAGCCTCAAATCATGCCCCTGTGGTCACTAGACCCCTGATAAAAGTGTGTGGGAAGGGGGGGAAATGGAGATTTATTGTTTCTTCTTCTGTCCTTATTTTTTTTAATTTGTATTTTCCCTATTTAGTCTTTCTTTGTTATATTCTGTTAATGTGTTGAGTAGGGCAAAATGTAGATATGCAGTGGAAGGAGAAAATCACAAAAAATAGCTCACGGCCTTTTATATGGATGTAAAAGGAAAATAGACACCAATCCTACATTAGTTGTTTCCTTGTTCACTTAATAGATCACATTCTAGCTCACCTATCTATTACATAATGTAGAAGCTTATCCTAATATATAAACTTAACTTTTATTCTGATAGAGTAAATCTACGTCGTCTTATCTCAGGATCAACAAAGAAGTTCGTACTGTAATCAATGTTTTAAATATCTGAAGAGAGTAATGGTTTGATCTTAAAGCATTAGCATCTAGGCTTGCCAAGTCCCCCCAGGGGGGCGGGGAAACCCCTGCCCCAGAGGTCCATTCCCCGCCACCGGCGGATTGGGCCCCGGGGGGAACCCCACCCCCAAAGCACGTGACGTGCACGTCACCTGGAAGTGACGTGACCACACCGGGCATGCTGGGGGCAGGGCAACAGTCATCTGAGAGAAAACTCTATGGTTTTCCCTCGGATGGTCGTGGCCCCGCCCCCAGCGTGCCCAGCGTGATCACGTCACTTCCGGGTGACGTGGTTGCAGCGCGCGCACTCCGGGAAACAGACGGGAGTTCCCCGCTCCAGCTAAAGGTAAGACTTGTCAACCCTATTAGCATCTCACTGACCCTCTGCTGACTCTTCCCTGTTTATTTATTCAGCTCTTTATGATGTTTGGCCCAAACTAGCCCACTATTTCAGATAAGGACTGGCCAATGCCAAAACACTGTAGGAGTGGTACAGGAAGCTAGCAAGGTGATGCCTTCCGTATCCCTATATCTTTTGTTAGTAGCAAAAGCTTCATCTATCACCTTGCAAAGGGCAATGTTAGAAACAAAGGTGACAACTCTATTTGTAGAAAACATCAGTGATGAAAAATGATTTGTATGTGTACAAAATGTTATATTCTCCTATCAAGTGTTCACTGTAACAGCTTAATACTAATTTTCCATTGTTCTTCATATGCCCATTTTCATTTCCATCACATGAAAGATGTGATGGTTACAAACATGTGGCAAGTCTAAAAGTGCCTCCCCATTTAAATACTAAATATTGGTGCTGTTAGCTTAAATAGAGGAAGAAACTAATGTGGGAATTCAAACAGAAAATGTTCTTGATACTGTAACACTTACTAGAATTGTTGTGACTATGTAGGTCCTATTTTGGAGATTAGTGGTTTCATTTGCTCCTTGTTGATCTACGGCTGTTGGGACAAATTTTTCATCTTCATTCCAATAACCAATCTGGTAATGACAAAGAAGTCACAACATACATTTGAGATAAACAAAGACGCTTTCCAAACTCTCACAAACTGAATACTAGATCCAGATGGGTGGCCACGTTGGTCTGAAGCAACAGAACAAAGTTTGAGTCCAGCGGCACCTTTGAGACCAAGCACACAAAAGCTTATACCCAGAATTAAACTTTGTTGGTCTTAAAGGCACCGCTGGACTCAAACTTTGTTCAGACTGAATATGAGGAAAGGGAAGCGCAAAGTATTATGAGAAATAAACTGCCCATTTAAGCTTTCTGAATATTTCATCAAGTATGTTCATCATTTTATTGTTGCTTTGGCCACTAAAAGGGTGGGAGATGCCATGACATACTATGTATAAGCAGCACATATATTAGTGTAATTATATAAATTATTTTTTTAAAAAAATAAGATATTTGTGTTCAGTGGCATTTTCTGAGGAGTCCTGACTTTCTTAGCATTGAACACACAAGCATTAGATTTATGCTTGATAGGAAAGTCTTTGTAGCCCGGTACAGATGACCCCACTCCCAACATGTGGTTGTTTCACTGCTTGGGGAGGAAGAGTGGGCATGAGCATGTTGGCCCTTCCCCCGACCTCCATGCCATTGCCTGGTTGTTTGCAGAGAACCCCTATGGAGGAAGTGGCCACATGCAAACCCCCTCCTGAAGATCAACAATGTTCCAAAGCAGTATCATTGATCATGGAATGGGGGAGTAGGTGCAGCCACTTCCTTCACAGTTCTGTACTCTACAGAGGGTGAAGCAATCATGCGCAAGCGGGAGTGTGGCCAGCACAGCTGTGTCCAGTCTCACTCCCTGTGCTGTGAGTCAATGTGCATGAGCAGAGGGGAGGTCATCTGTACAGGGTTTCTGATGTGAATTGTTGTTCTTTGTAATCCTCTCCCTTGTTATCGAGTAAAATCTTATTGATTTACTTTTTTCAATAACTATGCATCCCACATCATGCAGAATACATTTTAACATCAAAAATGTATCCAACAACAACTGATGGAAAGCAGAGAGTACAGTTGTTTCTCGTTATAAAATTAAACCCACTGATGAAGTGAGCTCTGACTCAAAACTCTTATGCTGGAATAAATTGTGTAAATCTCTGATGTGTCTCTAGACTCCTCTTTTAATTTTGATGAAAAGAAGTTACCAGAACAAGCTACAGTACCTAGACCACTCCCTTGGTTTTTCAAAAACATAGCAAAATTTTACCTTCCTATTCTTATCAGGTTTCATTTCCATCACGTGAAGGGTGTAATTTGTCCGATGTCCTTTCTCATTAAACTGAACATTACCCGTCAATCCTTCAAAGCGCACCTTAAAAAAATAGAAATCAATGAAACTATCTAGTCTGAAATGTTGATACTTGCCTGTATCCAAAACTTTTACATCTGATCAAGCCCATACATGTGTGCAATCAAGATGTTTTCTGTGTCAAATTTGGAAATGCCCTTATAGAGAAGATGATCTTTTTCAGACATTCTAAGTAGGGATAATGAATACTTATGTATGGGTGACAGTGGTAGAATTCAGTAGCAGGATTGTGGTGGCCAACTCTGCCTCAGTCTACTTATTTCACTGAAACTTTGATCTGTTCAAGTGTACACATATGTGCCATTGAATATGCAATGGTTAAGAAGGAGCTTGCTGCCACAATTCAACTTTCGCCCTACATGTGTTCATTAATTTAGAAAGTCTGCAAAGGCTTTGTGTCTAAACTAACAAGGGCACTTCTCATTTCTAATTCAATAACAAAGAGTGGTTGCTTTGTCCACATATATGCCTCATTTGTCTAATTCAACTCTCCTTACTATTTTGTGTGGTAATAACCAGCAAACATCCACAGTTTAGTCATCTCTATGGTCTCAAAGGCTACATACAATGGAGTGGGAAATGCTGTTATCTCCCAACATATTTTATCTGGATGCTATACTGTCATTTCTATTTCTTTTCCTAAACAAGCTGCCTTTTAAAATAAACTTTGTGTAGCTATTCAGTTGCAGAGTAAAAGTTCAGTGTTCATTCTTATTCATAATTCAATGTGATATTTTCAGATTCTGGTCCAGAAAACATTGGATCAGATCCAGATCCACACATAGATCCCTGAGTTTCCTCCCTCAGCAGCCATTTCTAAGCTCTGAAAGATGTATTCCCAAGGTTGCAGAACCCATGTGAAGTAATAGACACACATGTTGGAAAGCTGCAAGGGGAAGAGGGAGTAAAATAACTCCCTCCTGCCTTTTGTGTGAGCAGAGCTGTAGTGAGCAGCAGCAGAATGGAGTTTTCTGCCTACTTCCCCCACCCCACCACAGGACGCCAACATATTTGTTATGTGTGTGGCCATTACTCCTTGTGGTTTCCACAACCCTAGGAATAAACCTTTCTAGGACTGGAAATGGCCGATGTAGGAAGAGAGAACCAGGAATACTTTCAGCTACCAGTGCTTTTCAGTGACAGATTGCAGGACCCAACCCAACGGCTGCATCGATCCATTCATAGTTATTAACATTTCTTGGAACAATACATTCTGTGGTTGTTAGTTTGAAAAGAAAGAGCATGGATTCTACACATTGGCATCGTTTCTAACCTGCTGTAGAGCTCTCTGAATGTCAATTCCTTGTCCCCAAGGAACAGCTGGATTTGCAAGACAATCTCCAGCATTCCCTCGACGGGAGATGTCAATTCGTTGTTTCCTGAGACTCTGGAAAGCTTCTGCCATTACCCTGACTCCATCATATGTAAGGGCAGATGTGTACTAAAAAAATAGACAAAAGATGGGTGCTGGCCATTAGGGATCCTGTGACTGCATGTTTATTTCCCCTCCCCAAAAAGAACATCATATTGTATTGTAGAATCTGAATTCCATTTTGTTCGTATTAATATAATATCAACATATAACTGGAACATCTCATGTTCTGAAGTTTATTTAACCCTATCTGTCTTGTTACAGAGACCCTTAGGGGTTAGGGCGGGATAACAAATCGAAGTAATAAATAAATAAATAAATAAATAAATAACTCTGATACAATACTGCATTGTATGTTGCTTAGTAGTTGAAATTCAATTGTTTGCACTCAATTTTAGTAAAAATTATATTTTTAAAAAAAGAATGATCAAATCAGGCTTTTGGTAATGTATGACTTTTTGAAACTTGAGTTAATGATTCAACCACTAAACCTGAGTTTCATTGTGAAAGATTTGTATAGGACTCATCCTTTTATTTTCTTGTCATTGTCAACTAAATACCAATATTCAATATTTCACTTCAATTTTAGTTGTAATTCTATCTTGGATTTTCTTATGGACAAGCCATTACAGGACAGTACACAAATATACAGAGTCCAAATTGTCTGCCAATAGCAACCCACTGAAAATGGGACTAGAAAACAGTATTTGTAACAAGCATGGAACCTGCAAGGATTCATTTTCCTTTACCATTTCTTCTTTCTTTACTCCTGGCAGCTTTCCTCTCCCCTTTTGCTGCTTGTTTCTTTCCTTCCCACTTACCAACCAACCTTTCTTTGATCTCCTCCCAGTCTTCAGTTTTAGTTATTTTTATTTACTTAATTTATACCTCACCTTTCATGATAATGGGGACCCAAAGCAGCTTACATCATTCTCCTCTCCTCCATTTTATTCTCATAACAGCTCTGTGAGGTAGATTCATCTGAGAAAGACAATGACTGGCCAAAGGTCACTGAGCAAGATTCCTCTCTGTTGCTGTTAATCTTATAGGGTTGTTGTGAAGATAAAATGGAGGAGAGGAAATGATGTCAGCTACCTTGAGTCACGATTGGGGAGAAAGGCAGGATACAAATGAAGTACATAAAAAATAAAAATATATTAGTATTGATCTACTGGAAACCATGGATTGATGGAAGAACTAATGATGCCCCCCCCCAACACAAACTGATGTGTAATTCTTATTTCTGGAACTTTGTATTTTTATTATTGCTTTGTGTGCTTAATGCTTGCACACAAATTACTTTGACTTATATCTTTGCAGAGACAAAAGAAAATGAGGCCTCCCTAAGACGCTTCTAATTAAACAAAAACAAACAAACAGAAATTTTGTCTGGACAAGGTCTCCATGATTGTATATGAAAAACTAAAAGTGAGCTTCTGTTTCCAAACTGAGAGCATCTAGCAACATGATGGCACTGATGCCACCTCTAACAAATAGTTTTCAGTACCACTTGCCTTTGGCCCCTTCCAGTCAACATGAGGATGTTCCCTGGCATCATTGTTCTTCCACTGTTGCATGATCCTGGCTGGAATAGTGTCTGTCTCATTTACCAGCTGGAATCCAGTCACATTTGCTCCACTGTTCCTGAATTTTGATAGGTCAATATCCATGAAACCCTGAAGAAGAGAAGCAAAATCATTTTAGTAGAAGTATACTTATAAATAGGGACACCATATATGTCTGTTCCTACAACTATAAAAACAATTTCTGTTTCATCAATGCAATTAGGGGTGTGCATTCAAATCTACTCGAGCTGAAATATACCTGAAAAATACTGGTATTTTGGAGTATATTTTGGCACCCCAGAGGTAGCTGGGATTTTTTTGGAAAGCAAAAAAAAAAAAATGCTGAAAAATCCCAGCTATATTTGGGAATTACTGGGAAGACTAGCAAAGGCCAAAAAACACCTGAACGGCTGGCAGGGCTATTTTTGGGCAGGAACGCAGAGGAACGGAGTTCCGGCTGGCTCCTGAGTTGGCCATGCCCATCAGGAACTCATTAGCATAACAGGCCACACCCAACAGCAGGAACTCATTAGGATTGGCTACATTAGAGGTGTGTGGCCTAACATGCAAAGGAGTTCCTGCTACAAAAAAAGCCCTGGTTTGGACAACAAACAAGGTAAACAGAATAAGAAGCAAAAGGTGGGTGTGGCTGGATAAGTACACTTCTGGTAACACAGGGGTGTAGCCTCATATGCTAATGAGCTGTGCTGTCAGGGGCGTGGCCTACTATGCTAATACATTTCTGCTGTTGGGTGTGGCCAATTATGCTAATGAGTTCCCGCTGGGGTTTTTCTACAAAAAAAGCCCTGACGGCTGGAATATTGCATGTTTAAAGGGACTGCACAAGACAGCCCAAAGCAGAGTTGGCAGGGAGACTGCACCTTGCTGCCTCAGCTGTTTTCCAGGCTGTATTCTGCAGACTATTTAAACATGCCCTGTTTAAAGGGACCGTAGAAGAAAGCCTGAAAAACAGCTGAGCAGCTGAAGCAATCTGCTCCCGCCTCTCAGCTATTTTTTGTGGCTTTGCCGCTGTTCTTTCCCCCTCAGTTTTTTTCTTCTCAGGTCTATTGGACCTGGAAAAAAATGGGATTTCCAGAAAATTCCGGGATCCAAATACTTTACCAGTATTGGGATTGAGATTTTTCAGGAATCCCCAAATATTTTGGTCCAATAGACCTGAACCGAAAAATACCAAGAGAAAAAAAATGTACACCTTTAATTGCAATGCCAATGATTGTTGAATTTAACAAAAGTAAGGGAGCACAGAAAACAAAGGTCAGTGTGAAATAATTAATCTTGGTTTCCATAGGATCCATCCATCTCCATCTGCTTGGGGCAACACTGTGTTTTGAGTATATTGTAGCTGAAGATTCCGTGACTAAAGAAGATCCCACTAATCATAGGAACAGTTATTACTGCTAGTAAAGGGCAAGTCTAGGCCTTAATAACCTGTCCTATGGAACTGCATTATTGAAGAGGGTAGAGAAAGGATTGGAAGTTCTTTGTTGTCTCCTCCAAATCAAATCTTACAAGTATTTAACAAGAATATTATTATTTAAAATTATTTTTACATTGTCAGTTCTGCAATTCAGTCTTGAGTATCCCGAACAGTCCAAATTGATTAATGAGTTATACGGTAAAATCCTAAAAATGCTTTCTGGGACTAAACTCCATTGAATAGACCTGAGTAGGATTCTGAGTAGACCTGAATAGGATTGCTGTCATACAGTCCGTACCCCAACCAAGCTTTCTCCTTCAGCAAGGTTGGATCTACTACTATATTTCAGTTCTGCAAGGTTGAAATAGGAAGGCCAAAGTGTGATGATGACTTGAATGTCAACGGGGGAAAAAGAAAACAGGCCGATTAACCAGAGAATATTTTCATTAAGAATGCCTGAATAATGGGACAATGTACTCCCAGAGAATGATTCAGTGAAGAAAGTGTCAACATTTCCAAGGAGTATTAGTCACAAGGAGATACTTATCCAGCTAGAAATGTTACATTCTCAAATGTTCTATTCTTGTGCAGGGTGATTGAACGGGTGGTGGCTGGACGACTCCAAGCTTTCCCGGATGAGGCAAATTGTTTAGACCCCTTCCAATCTGGGTTTCAGGTCTGGTTATGGGACTGAAACAGCCTTGGTTGCCCTGATGGATGACTTGCACTGGAAGATAGACAGAGGGAGTGCAACTCTGTTGATTCTCCTAGACTTCTCAGCAGCTTTATATACCATCAATTATGATGTCCTTCTGGATCACCTATCTGTGCTGGGATTGGGAGCCACCATTCTGTGGTGTTTCCAGTCCTACCTGGAGGATAGGTTTTGGAAGGTGGTGCTGGAAGACTGCTGTTCAGCCCCTTTGCCTTTGGCCTATGGGGCTGCATGAGGCTCCATCTTGTCCCCTATGTTCTTTAACATCTACATGAAACTACTGGATGAGGTCATCCCGAGATTTGGGCTGGGCTGCCACCAACATGTGGATGACACTCAGCTCTATCTTGCACTTTTAGCCAATCCCAGGGAGTCAGTAGAAACCCTGAACTGGTGCCTGGAAGGAGTTTTGGAGTGGATGTGGGCTAATAAACTGATGCTTAATCCCCCAAAGACAGAAGTGCTACTGGTGGACAGAAGGTCTGACCTGAGATTTAAGGTGTCACCCATTCTGGATGGGGCTGCATTGCCTTTGAAGGAACAGGTCTGTAGTCTGGGGATGTTGTTGAACCCAGGCCTACTGCTGGATAAGTGTGTGGCTGCTATGGATAGGGGGTGCCTTTTACCAGTTTCAACTGGTTAGTCAGCTGCGGCATTTCCTAAGCCAAAAATGTGGCCACTGTAGTGTGTGCCCTGGTTACATACAGATTAGATTACTGCAATGTGCTGCACATGGGCTGCCCTTGAGAAGTGTTCAGAAACTTTAATTGGTATAGAATGCTGCAGCCAGGATATTGACTGGGCTGGGTTGTGAGGACCATATCACTCCAGCCTTGGCCCATCTACACTGGCTCCCTTTTTGCTTCTGGACACCAATCAAGGTGCTAGGCTTGACCTTCATAGCTGTATATTGTTTGGGACCAATGCACTGATGAACTGCCTACTCCTTTATGAACTCACCCGACAACCATGGTCATCTTCAGAGGCCCTGCTTCAGGTGCCCCTGCCTTGTGAGATTAGAGAGGTGGCAACCCGGGAGAGAGCCTTCTCAGTCAAGTCACCAAAGCTCTGGAATGCTCTCCGCAGGGAGATTCTTCTGTGCCCTTCTGTTGCTTTCTTCCACCGATGGATCAATATCTTTTTGTTTTGTTTTCCATTCCCTCAGTGATCTCCTCTTTCTAGGCAATATTTTAATTGCTGTTTTTGTTTTGCATGTTTTAAAACTATCTTTTAAAATTATTTTAATGATATGTGTTGGGGGGTTGATTTAAATGGTTTTAAAATGTGCTTTTATTATGTATGTTTTAAATTGTTAGCTTGGTGGCCTTTGTAAAGGTAGAAAGGCTGCATATAAATTTTGAAGTAAATAAATAAAACACATGCACTCAATCAGGTATCTATAAAAGTATAATACCCCCAGATTAAGGTCAGTGAAAGAAACAAAACTGATGGAAGAACTGAACTTTCAGTTGCCCAAGTAATAAATATTCAGATTTAGTTCTCACAGGGCTCTTTTTGTAGAAAAAGCCCAGCAGGAACTCATTATCATAATAGGCCACACCCAACATCAGAAACCCATTAACATATTAGGCCACACCCCTGACGGCACAGCTCATTAGCACATTAGGCCACACCCCCATGTTACCAGAAGTGTGGTTATCCAGCCACACCCACCATTTGCTTCTTATTCTGTTTACCTTGTTTGTTGTCAAAACCCAGGGCTTTTTTGTAGCAGGAACTCCGTTGCATGTTAGGCCACACACCCCTAATGTAGCCAATCCTAATGAGTTTCTGCTGTTGGGTGTGGCCTATTATGCTAATGAGTTCCTGCTGGGTGTGGCCAACTTGGGAGCCAGCCGGAACTCCGTTCCTGTGCGTTCCTGCCCCAAAATAGCCCTGGTTCTCAATGAATAGATTAGACCTGATAAATGAGTGTACCACAGTCCTTTAGTTCTAAAAAGTACAAATTGTATATCTCTTTGATGTTTTTTGTTACAGATTAATGAGAAGCAATTGTGTACTATATTAAAACTTCTACATCAGTTTTCACACACATAAATAGGTAAACACAAGTTTGTCGATATATTTGTAATATTTTGCATTACTTTAATTGTATGCCACAAGCAGTTTATAACAGCATTATAACTCCATTAAACTAATCACACACCATGTTCAATTACACAACACCAAACATCAATAAACTAATCAAAGATCATTTCAACTAAATACTACTGGAAATTGGAAGGTCTTAAATCCACTTCTGAAAGCAAGAAAACGAGAGAGCGAGAGAAAGAAAGAAAGAAAGAAAGAAGAAAGAAAATGTTGCTTTTTGCACCTCTTAGAAGAGGATTCCAGATGGTGTGAGCAATGACTGAAAAATGTCTAAATGCTACCCCTACCTAGTATTGAGCAACTCCTGGCTGGTACATGGGATCATACAGCAAGAGATGGCTCGTGCTTACAGCTAAGATTGATTGGGTTCAATATATGTGGTACAGCTAATTATAGGCAATTGTAATGGCTGTCTGTATGATAGATACATAGAATCAAATGCTGTATAGTGATTCAAAATCTATTGATAAAAAGTTGCTGTAAACTAGAAAAAAATGAGTCCCCATGCATTTCTTTACAAAGCTAGATAAGCTGTCACCACCCCCTTCCTGATCCAAAGCTTGTCTACATGGGCTTCTATTCTGCTTCCAGAGCTCCGTTTTATGATTCTTTTCCTAATACTGATATTTGTCAGCACCCATTTTAGAAAAAAAAGCATATAAATGTTAATGTGGGAATGACTATCTCTCTGTCTATTTGTCTCAACACATGCAAATAGTAATGAGTTTTATTTTTCCCCGGCCCTTTATAAAACAGCATAAGCAAACAAAAGACAGATTTCAGCACCATGTTGCTTTTTGGGGATGGGCATGAACCAGCTGAAGAACTAAAGTTCATCACAAATTT